TAAAACTACTTCGAGTTTTATATACTTTAAGTTCAACCAATTTAGGTACTGGGGCTTGGTAATTTTTACAACGACACATACAATAACCAAAACTTTCACATTTTCTACATGCTATCCCATCAACATGAACCGAAGGGGTTACAAAACATTTGTTCTCGCAACAATAACGGTTCATTGTTAACACTTTCGCTTCCAAACAGAGACTAAATATTTAAGAAAGTTCCCAGAGTCACGCGGCATTAGGAGGGGGAGGTCTTATCATCCGACCTCTCTTAGTCAAAAAGATGGTTACAACACAACAGTATGTTGTTAGGACTGGTGGGTAAGTTTTTGTTTTTTATATCCATAGGGTAAGGTACCATACTCACCCTCATGCTTCCTTTTAGGTCCTGTAATTTGGAAAACTTTAGTTTCATTTATGGTAACGATGTTCCGGTCTTTAGTTCTGCGAATTCTAGATTCGTTAATTTCTATTTGTCGTCTAGTTTCACTAAGGACCATTTCTTTTAATTTTTCAAAGTTGAGCGTTTTGGAAGTCTTAAAATTGAGTGTGAGACCCTTAATTTTGCAAACTGGGACCAAGATCTGCTTATTTGTTGACCAAACAAGATACGCGTAGGTTTTTGGACCCCCAGAAACAAATTCTACTATAAAAGATCCAGGTCCGTACTCAGCCAGCTCATCGGTCATTTCACCAAGATAATCCCCTGTAGGAACTCTGTACAAACCACCCTTATATACATATAATACAGAATCAGTATCATAATACAATACCTGACCACCAAGGGCATCTAGATGCTCATAGAGCTTTAATCTCGCTTGAGCTGTGGTGTATGCAGCTATCACTACATTTACATTAGTCAAAGGTTCGCCTACTTCTTCTAAGTACTCCCAACTTACAACCACAACATCATCATTAACAATCTGTATTCTATTTACATCTATTTCCGGTTTGGTAAGCATTTCAAATAGTGTTTTTGAATCTCTAATAATTGTAGCCTTGGTTTGGTTTTCCCTCTGTCCAAATTTACCCCAAAATGAATTAAGCATTAGTTTGGCTAATGATCTCAACCCCCCGTTCTTTGTTATTTTACTTTTGTCCAATCTGATACCTTCATGCCTAAAATAATCTTCAATATATTTATCTTTGTCATCTTCAGTCTGACACCAGCCAGGGTACCCCGAAGCTTCCTGTTTCATCTTTAAAAATTTATTAATAAAATCTGTAAACAAACCCCCGTTTTCATATGTGGCTACCTCATACTCCCACAGCTCATACATATCCAAAACTACATAGCCCTTTTCCACTGCCCTTCTGATTTCATCCATAGTCCAAGTTCCTATTAAAGCTCTATCTCCACTTTCATGTTCACATTCACCCTGATTTTGAGAATTCCCACAGGTGTTGCATAGGACAAACATCAATTTATTGTTTATCTTTGCCGGAAGGACAGGATGGTAAAGATCCCTTGGTGGTAGCACTTTACACTTAAGCAGACCATCTACATGTAAGCCTCGCTGTCTGCACTCATTATCTCCCACATAAATCGTAGGATGACCAATAGGATACTTACCATACTTACATACATATGGGTAAAGAGAGCAAACATCAACATATTCAATGGTTTCCCCTTTCCCACACTTGTGGTAAGTTTTAGCATTACCTGTTCTGCCTCCAAAGAAAGACTGTCTAGGGTCCAAAGGAAGATTATTAAGAATAGGGAGTGTTTCCAAGTGTTTTAGATTTCGGTCCTTTTTTAACTTACGAAACTCACACTCCCACATCTCAACTACTTCATAGTCATTAAACTTAGCAATTTTAGATTTGGTCCTCTCATATCTCAAGTGAAGCGAGTCAGAGGGATCCTCCTTCAGAGGAGCATCTCTGTTATAAGGATAACATTTGGAGCAACCGTGCCAATAGCACCCGTGAAACTCATAGATCCTTTGTCCATCAAATCCATCAACTTTCAAACCAGAAATACTAATCTCCTTTCCACGCCCCGCATGTTCTATCCTCACTTTACGGATTTCCTCCTCAAAACTTAGCCATTGGATAGCTATAGCTGACTGATTATTCACAAAACGATAGCCGTTCTTAGGAATAAGTCCAATCGTGTTTGGTTTCAAGAAGTTTCTACGAAAGGCCAAATTACATGCACTAGCAATAGTTACAGCTTCCAAAAAAGGATCAACATTACACTCTTGGAGGAATATTGTCCTGAACTTAAGACACGCTTGTGCTAGAATTTCCACATCTGAGATGCAGTATTCTAAGATCTCCTTTTTAAAGTCAAAAACATAATTCTCAGCCACTCGTTCATCATACCACTTTTCAAAATCCCTGTAGGACTTTTCAAACATAGTCTCTGGACAATAGTACTGTTTGTCAGGCATCAGTCCTACATAGTTTTGATTGGCAAGAGTGTTAAATAAATGGGGGAAGTAGCCTTTCTTTCTTTCAGGAGGCAGATCAAAAGCCTTAGGGAGTGCAGCAAGGGCCATGGGGAAGTAACTTAGTGAGTCCACAAACCTCACGTTGTCCATTTCCATCAAAATAATTTTTGTACCCCTCATGATCAGTTCAGGGGTGAATTTTGTTCGTTCAAGCATATACTTAAGCAAAAACTGAAAATCAAAACCCTGACCATTATGGGCAATTACACAAACATGTTTAAACTGTTTACGGGTTTCCATTACATAGTTCATAAATTGGGTAACCGGGTTAGAGTTGAAGACTCTCGTACGGTTTTTACAAGCAATACAAAATTTAGCCTCAATACATTGGTAACAATACTGTTGTGAAACACACAAGTTAACTTTATGTTCTTTCTGGTCAGGATCAGTGGAGAGTGGCTCATCTTGACGGGTTTCCAAATCAAAAAATATATACAGATAACCTTTAGATGTAGGTTTACCCTCGTTGGGTTTCATGTAACATTTATGATTAGGATCCTGAAAAGATTCACAAGGTTTACAATAAACCTCACCACACTTATGAGGTGTAGGTCTTCCCTTAATCATAACCAACTTATCACAATCAAGACACTTTTTCACTTTTTTACATTTATCAATTTTGTGGGCTATGAAACACCTTTGATTTCTTAAAATAATATTACATTCTGGACAAGTTACTCCCCCATGTTCTAACTTACAAGGAGGTGAGATGGTCAGACAGTAGCAGCAAATATTGGAACATCTATGTTCAGTTTTATGATCATAAGGGACATGGCAGGCTTCACAATAATATTTACAAACAAAAGCAGCAGTTAGACTGGTAATGACATTGAAATGACCATTACAGAAAATCAAGTTAATTTTAGATTTAGCATTCTCTGGACGACCCTCAAAATACACATCACGCCCTTTCCTATCATAATTGTAAACAGTGATTTTATAATCGGTCAACAGATCTTGAAACCTTTCTAGTTCAAGAATTCCAGCACCATTCTCAGGCATTTCTACCCTAGCCCTCCGGATGAGCTCTTGCGCCATCACTGTCTGCCTTTTCCTATCATCTTGGCGAATCGCTTTATATAGAGGATCTTTAATTGCATGAGCAACAGCTACCACCAAGGCACGAGGGAGACACAAATTATCATTATTTTTTATCACAACAATTCCAGTCCTAGCCTTACATTCCTCATCAAAAGTATTATACAATCCAGGTCTTTTACGGGTACCCGAACCTACAGGGAGATTCACTCGCGTACACTCGACTTTAAAGGTATCCGTTGACTTGATAGATTCAGAATTACTTTGTACAATACCCCCAAAAATCTGCCACAACACATCTTCGTCAATTTCCCCAGCAGGTCGAAACGCTACATATCCATCTTTACCTTTAAGATTAAGGCTTTGAAGGGTAAACCCGAGCTGGTCATTATCATGGGCCTGATCTTTCATCTTTTTTACAATGGAAGCAAATCCCTGTCTAAGCCAATCAAACTCACTAGTTTCAGGAGGAGGATTAGAAAATTTAAATATAGTCTTGGTCCCATAAAGTCTAAATTTCTTAACATAGGACTGGTCCTCACTAATAGTTTCAACTGGCTCAACAGCAGAAGCCATTACAACAAATATTAAGGAAAATCTAAATATCACTACTATTTACAAACATAATTAATACACCATAAAAGAAAACTTAATATTACTACTCACAACGATAACCTTTTTACAGAAGAACACTACACACAATTCAGCAAATGTCACAGAGCAAAAGAACTACACCTATAAACACCGCCAAAGTAAGAGTGAACCAGGATTTTTAATTCTCTCACAGATATACCCTTCAACCAATCACAGATCACCTATTTATAACCTATCAGGTACAAGCTTATTTCAACCACTCACAGAGCACCTGATTCAAATATTTTTGTCTGTTAGTTTCAATACAACTGTCACTTATTTATAACCAATCAGAAGCGAGCTTATTTTCAACCAATCAGAGAACGCCTGATTCACATATTTTTTTCCGTTAATTTCAATACCACAGTCACTTATTTATAACCAATCAGAAGCGAGCTTATTTTCAACCAATCAGAAAACACCTGATTCAAATATTTTTTTCCGTTAATTTCAATACCATAAAAGATAATTCATAAATCATAGAGGAACACCAAAGAAGTAATTAAATATTATTAAATTTATATTAACATAAGAGTACACAGTCTTCAACCCTTCCAAAAACAACAGCCCCACCCAAAACCCACCCCCCAACTCCAACACCCACCCCCAACACTAAATCCACCCCTTAAACCACCCCCAACACTAAATCCACCCCTTAAACCACCCCCTACTCTAAATCCACCCCTAAAACCACCCCTAATCCAAAAAACCACCCCTAAAACCACCCTTATCCAAAAAACCACCCCTAAAACCACCCCTTACGCAAAAACCACCCCTAAATCAACCCCTTCAATCCACCCCTAGGCAACACGCAACACACCAAAACTACCCCTGCTAGATCGGGGGACATTCTACTTACATATTTGTTGCAGGTACTAATATTAAGAAGAGGTGGGATAGTCTGAGAACCTGCTTCGCAAGAGAGCTACGAGCCCAAACCAACACAAAGTCTGGACAGGCAGCTAGTAAACGCAGAAAATATGTATACTTTGACAGACTTTTGTTTTTGTTACCGGAAGTAGAGCAAAGGCAAACGGTATGTAATATAGGTCCTGCAGCAAATAATGATGCGTGCAACGAAGTGACAGTGGACATTGATGAACAGGACGATGTCACAGTACAAGACATCGAAGATATTGAAGAAGACAATGAAAATAGAGGTGGTTGTCAAAAAATTAGCGGCAAAAAACCAGTTAAAAAAGCAACTTACGAAGAACAACTCCTACATGTACTGAGGACGAAACAAAACGAGGTAAACGACGAGGAAACAAATTTTGCCTTGTCTTTAGTTCCTACATTGAAGACACTGCCGGAAGCCAACAAAATTCAATGTAGGATTGAAATTTTGAACGTCTTACAAAGATTCAAGTATGGCAATACCGGGTTTTATCCTACAGCTGGTCAATACCCACCGTCTTTTCCTACCAACCAACAGTTTGCTTCTGATCAAATCAACCAAAATTTTCGCAATCACTACCAAAACACAAGTGCGTTTCCTCCGTCATTCCAAAGCTATGAAAATTTGACGGGATTACCAACTTTCTCATCTGAACCAACAAATTCAAGAGTACTGACAACTCTTCAACCAGTACAGCGTAGCAATCAACCGATTCCACCGGACAATGCGAAATATCCGCAAGTATCATCGTGTACATCAGGGTCCAATCAGTCAGTGACATCGTATTTTTCATCTTATGGAGAAAAAGGATCTGGTGAAGGAGCAGATGATAACTCTACATTTTAGATTTGATGAAGCGTTTTTCTATAAGAAGGATTAATTTTGTTATTTTATTACGTTTGCCACATAAAACTTTGTTTTTGACAATTTCTAATATGAGAAGCTCTGCGATTTAGGAAAAGTGAACAGAAACATAGTGTTACGTTTTTATTTAAGTACGAACTATTTTGATTCTTATTAAGTTTGTCACAAAAATGTTCGTTATAATTACAATTACGTTATTTACAATTACTCATTTGAGGAGTAACAACAGCCCTGTGATTTTTGAGAAGTGAACAGTGACATTGTGTTTTACTCTTAGTATGTTATTATTTGTTAAATTTATTATTATTTAAAAATTTATTAAAAAAGTTAAAAAAAAAAATAAAAATTAATTCAAAATAAAAATTTAAAAAATGAAATTTATTTATTATTTGTTAAATTTGTTGTGTTGTTTGTTGTTAAATTGGTTTGTTATTATTTGTTTTAAAACTATTGTTTAGGATAGTTTGACACTAAAGGAGCCTTGATATTTGTTGTGAGGTTGAAAGAAATAAGTATTAGACTACAGTACCAACTATACGATATGATTTCCTTTAAGTGAGATAGGCCTCATTGTGTTTGTATTAACGTTTTGATTTTTATTGTTTTTATTAAACGATTGAATTTGAATTGTGGAATTGTTTGACAGTCAATTATCAATTATTTAAGATGGGGACGACACTATGTGTGTATTTTAACCGAAATATGAGTGAAGGATGAGTGTAGGAAAAGTGGCGCGATCTTGTAGTCCTGTTAGTGACTACGGCCAACATGTTCCTTAGAGCTAAGGTAGCTACGTACAGTTTAGAGTGGAATAAATATCCACAATTCGTGACCTCATAGTACAGTAGCTGGATTACAGGACGACGCAGTTCATTCGTCTCTTACAAATAGTAGTTTTTATCAAAAGAAAAAAAGTGGTTGTATTTTTCGCAATCGTGTTTTACAGTGACGGGCCTTGTACAGGGGGGGGGGGCTACCGGAGGGTTTTGGAGCACCCCCCGAATAAAGTAGGGGGGTCCGGGGGCTCTCCCCCGGGAAAATTTAGAATTTTTATAGCCGTTTGGTGACTTTCTAAAACCATTTGTAAAACCTAAAACCGTGGCCAATATTGTCCATAAAACTCCCATTTTACCTGTTGTTTGTCATGAGCAAATATTAAAAAAAATTAACTACAGTATGACGATTTCATTAATGAATTTCAAAACACACTGTAGACTACGGGCTGTAACCTCCTAAAAAACATCAGAAAAATGATTAAATTAAATATAATTGTTATTAACAGAGTTTACAACGTGCATTAATATTACATTTACATTAATTTTACTGTGTTTAAATTAGAAAAATGATAAGTTTACCAAATATCAGATGTTTTAAGTTAAAGCCCCTAAATGGGTCACTTTCGACCCATTAAGATAAGATTATAGCGCACTGACAAAAATACAGCTGATTTTGCGGTGCGCTTTTTGTAGCGGAAAAGTTTATGGGTTTATTACAGATCTTAAAACAATGGGGTTTTTTGCAGTGACAAAAAATGTATCGTTTCATTAAATTATTACACTGTAATACATAAGTCTTACCTGAGTGTCACCAACAGTCGTTCTTCAGCTGGTACTGACATCCTCATATTTGTATTTTGGCGGGTTATTACTGGACACATTAGTAGTAACAATTGGTCAAAACTATCAACACTCATTCGTGAGTACATGAAAAATTTTTCTGGATATTTTCTTAAATCCGTGTATAATAGGTAAAATTGGCCTTTCAAAATCCTCGGACTGTATATTGGATGGACCCAATATTTTCTTTTACGTTTCCTAGCACGGAATCTCATTAGTAACGCACATACGACCGCGGTTTCTGTCACATCCATCCTTTAACACTCTCGATAGACGACTAAACAGTCGTGGCGTGTGCGCACCCACAGTCAACGACCAAACAGTCTTGACGACTTTTCAGTTGTGCACCCAACTCCAGCCAGACAGTCGGCAGACAGTCGGCCGACAAAAAGTCTCTCGTGCGCGGTAGGCCTAATAGTCACAAAACCTGTAAGAGTACCTATATGGGTACCGAATGAGATTGGATGTTCAGCTCATTCCAGGAACAGATCATTTTTGAAACCGAGAAAGTGAAAATGATCGTGGCGAATTTGAGCAGGCTGTTGAGAAATGTTGTTGGATCGGTTGGCAGCAAGCAACGGTTGTTATGGTGTCCATTGTCCACCATCCACTCCATTCTTCTTTTTAAATATAAAACAACTCAGAGGAAAGATGGCAGCGGTCCACAGGAGAAGAGCTCTCTGGATTACAATGTTTGAGCTACTCGTCCTCATAGTTGCAGGAGTAATTCTTATGGAACTTCTTGTTTTTGTACAGAAGCAGATATTTGATGGGAATGGAGCTTTGAGTCACACCGAAGCTCGAAATTGTATGTAAGGCTGACAATATCACAGGGCGGGGGCGAGGGATGAACAGCAAGGAGGATAACGCTGCTCGAGACTCATTTGGTAGGCCTATCTCCGAAGGTGGGTTAAGCAAAAAATGTCTATAACTTAGGTTACAGCTACTCATGTTTCTGAAAAGTTTTACTTGTAATGGTACCTAACTGCAAATTGTAATAAAGTATCGTTAACAATCCTACAGTACAGTTACTCTTGTATTAACTGCTTTCTAGAATATAGTTAATTATAAGAAGTTTTTTTTTTAATAAGTGAAAGTCTACCACCAGGGGCAAAAAAGTAAATTCATTAATTATTGATGGGTAAGTTACTACCTGGGATTGGTAATGGTAATGGCCAAATGCTCTCAGTGAGTTTGTTACAGATCAACAAGTAGTTTACAAGACACAGGGGATGATTACATTAATCCTGTAAAATTATCGCAACCCCTATTCTAAGTTAAGTCAATTTGAATATAAATCTAAGATCTGGACAGTAACTTATGTACGTAGGAACATTATGTAGTAAATTTACTATTTCCCCATCCCCACTACTCCAGCCGTAATTAGATAAAATAGATAAATATATATTGTACAATATTAGCCTACTGTACGATAAAATGGTTTTGGTAATTTAGTGATAATAATTTACTAATGGTAATTTGTGGTATTATTTCAACAAAATTAATTATACAACAAATAAAACATTCTCTCTTTTATACAAGTAAACTTGTGTGGGGCTGTCTGCACTCTGCAGACCGATATTCCCAAACCAGACGCTCTGCGGCCAAGGTTCAACCAGAAACTTGGTAAGCTGGTTGAACCAAACCCTCAGACCACAGGCGGTCTGAGATTCCCCACCACTATATGTCTGGTCTGTGAGTGTGTAAAAGTGGCACTGGACGGAACCAACAATAAAATTGTTGAGCTGATTTATAACTAAGGATGACAAATCTATTTAATCTATGCCACAACCCACTTGTAAAAATATGGGACATGTAGTTGCATGCCGATTTTCAACTAGCCACTGCTTGAAAAAAAATTGGCTAGCCGACACTCCGACAGCCGACAGCCGACAGCCGTTGTTTTGGTTTTGGTTGTTGTTGTTGTTGTTTTTCACAATCACAAGTCGACGAAACCAAAACCACGAAACTGGAAATTAATCGTTTTGATTTTAGCGAATTTCCCTATAGGGAAGTAGCTATTACCGTAGGTGGCACGATAAGACCTAGACCTGGGACCGATTTACTTTTTCATTTTGATGTCCCCAGAGGCCAAAAACACCATTCGTTCAAATTTTTATATATGTATATATATATAGACTTATATATATATAGATATATATATATATATATATACGTCCGTGAACGCGATAACTTGAGTAATTTTTGTCCGATTTTGATTAAATTTGGTTTAAAGGTGTAAAGCGGGATAAACTTGAATGAGTTCGCGAACCAGCACGATCGGACCATGGGAACGGGGCTTTACGGGGGGTTTTATGGGGTAAAAATTGGTTTTTCTCACTTTTGACCCTCAAAACACAAAATTTCCCGATTTCTCTTTAGACCTTTTTAAAGAGCTTAAAAAACAAATTTTTTAGTATATAAAAGTATTTTTGTTCGATTATTAGTAACGGAGAAAATTAAAAAAATTGTAAATTTAAAATTCCCATGTTATTCTTATGGAGAATATAGTCAAATGTTGTAGTTTGCTTGTTTATGGATATATTTTGATCAAACTTGGCAAATTTATTTATTTTGTACTAAGCTATCAATATTTTACTCAAAAACACACTTTATTAGTTTCCTTGTAGCAGCAAACCTAGGTACTCGTTAAACCTAATGTTATTAAAATATATTTAACTGAAAATCAATTCAGACAAATGGAAATTCGCTTAGTCGGCAGGTTTGCTGCGGCGGGGGTATTTGTTATTGTTATTGTTGTTCGCCACCAATGCCACCTTATGATGGAGTTATTTAACCTTGCTTTGGCTAAACGTCTTAAGTAATAATGGTAATAGTCGTCAGAGTCAAGCTCAACCCTTTTTTATTTAAAAATTGTGCTAAATAAAAAAACACATGACATGAGTAAAACCTAACCTCAATCTTCAACAGGAACAGACTGCAGAACATTAAATGTATGCTTTTCAGCATACCATACTTCCATCTCAGACAAACATTTTAACTTTTATTTATTTATTTCCCAACGGATTGCAACTTTTTACAAAATATGTGTATACAATTGAGATGGCATTTGCAATATTACTATATGTCTGGTCTGTGAGTGTGTAAAAGTGGCACTGGCTGGACGGCAGCATAACTTAAAAGAATGTTGTCGTTCTAGACCTAGTCTTGAGAACCTCAATACTCAATTAATTTTCTGAGACAGTTCTAAGTTAACTTATTTCCAATCAAAGTGGAGCAGACTAGGCTAGGGGTCTGACTTAGGGGAGGTACGAATGAGGCATTTAGTTCAAAATTCCTTCGTGAACAGCGCTGTAGTAGAGAGCACTTTGGCAATGAAGGTTTACTAATCGCAAAAATAGTTCTGTTCATAAAATAAAATTATAAATGTCTCAAATTCAATTTTATTATTTTTTAATTATAAAATTAAACTATCATAACCTAACCGAACTAACCAAACTTGCTGATAAAGAAATAATATAACAAAAGTTTAGTAATCGGAAAAATAAGTTAATTCTGTTTATTAAATAAAACTAGAATTTGCTCAATTAAAATTTTGTAATGACTTAATAATAAAATTAAACTGTAATAACCGAACCAAACCAACCAAACTTGCTGATAATAAAAAAATCTTGGACAAAAAGTAAATGCTACCAGCAGGATTCGAACCCGGGACCTACTGTATATCAGCCCGGCACGCTAACCAGACCACCGAGGCCGATGGCTACCGACCGTTTTGTTACGGTAATGGCGTTCCCTCAGCTAATAAGAAGCCCACAGCTGTCATCGTAGCCTCTTCTATACCTCCCCTGAGTAAATACCCTAGGCTAGGCTAGTCACACTAGTGAAGAAGAAGTTGTGGCCACTGGCCTGGCCACAACTTTGCAAAAAGGAGAGTGCCTTCCTTCTCCTTCCTGAGCTAGGTTTTATGCTGTGCTAGCAATGTAAATGTAACTTAGGCCTTTATTGTATAAACTTAAAAGCAATGTCGGGGAAACTTGAGACAAGAATGCCTAATGTTGATAACCCCAATATTCAACATAATAGGCCTACTTTAACAGATAAAATTGATAATGGATTGTCACATGAAAACTCAGAAGATGCTGAAATGTTTGATGATGGAGTTCACCAAAGCATTATTGAAGCGTTTGGTAATTCAATTTGGTAAGCTGAATTTTATTACTCTAATTTCGTAGTACAACCTAACTAAGTTATAAGATAGGCCTTGCACACAAAATTCAAAAAAAGTGTAAATTGAAAATTCCCAAGGTATTTTTATGGTTTGAATAATTTGAAAATAAAGTGATGTAGCTTGCTTGTCTATGTTCACATTATGTAGGCGTGGTAATTATTAAACTTACTGTATCACACTGGTACGGTATATGACGTAATTTTTAGATGTCTACTTACAGTATTTTTTATGCTGAATCCAAAAATGCAATCAGTTTTGCCGGAGAGATTCCTAAGTGGCCGTAAGTGTACAATTAATTAATTAATATCAAGCTTAAGTTTTTGAATTATTCACATATTTGTAGTTTGGACCAGTCCAAGTTCTTTTAGCGACTAACACTGAAAGAGGGGAAGGTTTGTGGGAGTGGAAACATTTGTCGTTGTCATTTGACAATCATTCGGTACTAAACAGACAAAACCTCACACGACGACATGAGAGCAAAATCAGAATTACAATAGGCCTATGCAATAATCCGATTTTCAAAAGCAAATTAACTTTGGTGCCATTTAGAAAATACATTAACTTAACTATTACGATACATAAACTATAATCACATCTACAAAAATTATAAAAAATGGAATTTATTCTTGTAGCCTAAAATAGTTAGGCTACTTACCAGATAGAATAGAAAGCTATAATAGAAGATAGGCCACTGCCGACATGATCGTCCTCATTCCAACCCTCACTCAATGTATGTTAATGAACGTGCCATAATGCATAATCCCATAGGTACATAATCTTATGTGCCTTAAAGTGAAAACGTGCCACAGTTCATAATTTCATGTATCAGCAACTAATAAATGATATTACATTTTTATGTAATAAGGAAACCCCGAAAATAAGAGATTCCAAGCTTGGTAACAATATTTTCTTTAGCCCTAAGACATAGGCCTACTGCAGTAAAGAAGTTATTATTATTAAGCTCAGCTAATCTAATCTAATCTAACCTAACTTAACCCAACTCGACCTTCATATTAACCAGACTTATTTAACAGATGTTTAAATAAAAATATAAATTTCGGCTTTTCCCTGGAAGTAACTTAATAAGTCCTGCAGTCTATGGTTAACATTTAAAACTAGGCCTAACTTACGTCCATATGTTTAGTTGTTAACAAAGGGAATTGAGTTTGATTAAGTGTCAACAGCCACCGCCGTTCCCAAACTTTAGCCCTTAACTGTACTTAAGTGATGACCTTTCTTAATATTCTGAGATGTATATTTGCATATCTACGTGAAAATACCTTCAATTTGACACCTCAAACGTTAAAATCCGTCAAGCCGTTATCGAGTTATGACTGTGAAAAGAGAACTGCTTGCGTATTAGATTTTTAAATCGCATTTCATGTCAGAAAAGGCATGTGAGGAAGATAGGTCGGACTTTATGCGGATTTGTGACTCTATTAAACTTAAGTCCTTTGAAGTGAGGTTAGATTAGGTAGGTTAAAGGTTAGGGTTATAGGCCTAATGACCTTGCTTGAACATTTTTTATATTGTTTGTGTTTTACCCACTATTTCAATTGTGCAAAAACCTGGAATCAGCATAAATAAATGAGTAGGTTTATTTTAACCTAACCTTTACCTTCATAATCTAACCTCACTTCAAAACACTTAATACAGTCACGAATCCGCATAAAACCTGGCCTACAATCCTCACATGCCTTAATAAGAACTGATTATTTGGTTTCAAAACAAATTGATTTAATTTCGCATTAAGTATGAACAGCTGTTTGCTCTCCTCAATCAGTCCTTACTCCTCAGTTCACATATGGACCCGACCAGACCACGCCATATTATCTTCAGTACCGCTCAATTATCCGTAGATTCGTAATATTAACCTTTGTTTTACGGCAAACTTACGAATCTCTCCGACAAAAACTGATTGAATTTTTGGATTCAGCGTGAAAAAAACTGTAAGTAGACATGTAAAAATCCCATCATATCCCAGTGTAGATACAGTGAATAGCCTATTAGCCAGTGGCTTGCAGACGCGTCCACAAAATTAAGCATCAGGTCATCAGGGCACAAATTCAAATAAATTTAAGTGGATAAAAATTTGTGTCTCGGATACATTTTATACAATTTAAAACTTAACTTTCTCATCATGAGATATAGGGCTAGAGTTAACTAAACTTCTTATGAGGAACTCCCCTTCATTTTTTACTTTCTCCCCCTATACCATAGTATAGGCCTATAAGGAGAATGTATTGTTTTCGTCAAAATTTTTGAGTTTCAGTTTTGAGTGGATATATCCGTTTTGGGTTCCCCCAACCCAAAAAAGTGGTTTTCGAAGTGATGTCTGTGTGTGTGTGCCTGTGTATCTGGATGTGTACAGAGCTAGGGACTAGACACCTGTGGTCCGATTTCCATGAAATTTGGTGTGTAGGTTCTAATCCATGGTATCTCTAGGCGTTTTAATTGTTTTTTTGAAATTTTGATTTTTAATAGGGTATAGGTATCTAAAAACCCATAAAATAACGGAAAAATCTGGTTTTTTTTAAATAGCCCTAACGATTTTGATAAAAATTTAGTCTATAAGTATAAAAGAGGATGTTTGTATATATATATTTGGCAGTGATAGACTCAGACACCGCTGAACCGATTGCCACGAAACTTGGTACATACGTGTAGAATTTCATGGAATAGGTTTATACACCATCAATTTTGTGATCCGTCCAATCGGCTCCGCCCCAGTGGCTCTGGAGTTTCCCATGTTAACCTTGTGAGAAATGGAATTAATGAATCTTAACAGCTGTTTCAATTAAACAAGTTGGTTCTGTTCTATGATGTTCAATAGCATTAAAGTTACAAGGATTACCAACAGGGTGCAGCACTATTATTTTTTTTACATTTATGACAACAGTTAATTTGCAACCAAAAGGTGAGTGAGTATAGTGAACGAACTTCAACCTGGAGGCGAGTTAGCGTAGTGAACGAGCTAACCTGAAGGCAAGTGAGCGTAGCGAACGAGCTAACCTGAAGGCAAGTGAGCGCAGCGAACGAGCTCCAACCTAAAGGTGAGTGAGCGTAGCGAACGATCTCCAACCTAAAGGTGAGTGAGCGTAGCGAACAAACTTCAACCAGGACGTGATTGAGCCATGCGAACGAGATCTTCTTGAAAATTAAGAAGTTAAACGGGGCAAAGCCCGCGGGTTACAGCTAGTTTGTTATATAGGCCTAGACCTTTAAATTCTGAACAGAATGGTACAAATCCTAATTCTGTAAAAATTGCGGTTCAAAAGTAATTGTGAATTTGTTATTTTTCCATAAAATAGCAAAAAAAAAAAAAAAAATTTTTAGATAAAGAAATCTAAAATAATTTAGAAATAAATTTTTTTTTTATCAAAATGAATATGTTATTGTCCTATAAAATAAAAATAAAAATAGTACAGCACCCCATTGCTGTAACAATTATGGCTCAAAAGTCATATCATATTTAGCCTACTCTCACCGCGTACCCATGATAAAGGTTGTTGACAATCAGGTTGGTGAAAGTAAGTTTCATGTGTCAGAATGCTGATACCGTTTATTTAGATGTTTTTGGGATGGTTTCAAATTCGGGTATACTTCCAGACAGACAAACACAGACTTTGCTCGTATTTAAGTAGGCTATAGGATATCTTTAGCTAAACAATTGAGTTTAGTAAAATATTAATTTTATTGGTTGTAAAATTAATGTCCACGAAATGTGAACATTTCAAACTAAAACTTGAAAATTGTTTATAACAATGTTGCTTAACGTTCATCTTCGTCTTCGACTTATTTTCTTCCCCAGGCCAAGCTTTTGTTAATGCTCAACAGATGCTCTTTAGGAAATCCTGGGTTGAAAAGCAGCCCATCTATTGTTCGGACACGGCTCTAGGTTAACCCAGCGCTGAATTCTCTTGGTCCAATATCAACAAAACAAATGCTGGTTTCAGGATCATGCCGTGGGAGTTTTGAATTATGAGAGAATAGGCAAGAGTCAATGGAAGCTATTGGTACACTATGCCATTATTTAAAAATACAGTTACAATAGAGAAACAATGCCGCCACCTTAGGTTGATTCCATTGTATTTACAATCTCATTTATAACCGGATGATTTTTTTCTACAGCCATAACAATGTTTAGTTTGTAAGATAAAACTAATGGAACACTTATAAAAATACATGTTTTTAGTTAACTTGTTTTGTAGGTCTAGAATAATAAATCATGTTCAAACTGAAACCAAGAATTAATCGAGGAACGCACTTAAATAATACATAACAAGGTGATTATCAGAAATAATAATGGATCAAAAATGGTAACTTGTTATTTATAAGCAAATTATCCCAAAAGCAAACTTGTTTGCATTATTATTTAAATTAAACTGATCCAAAAACGCCCAAACCACATAAAATACATGTTAATGCTATGTAGTTCAAGCTATTAACGTCATTTGTTTATGTTTATAATCCATACAATTTCTGTTCTAATATCTTTCATTAGCAGTTGCAATAACTCCTTCAAGTCAACAGCTGATCTAATGCCTTTGTTTATGTGTCAAATACTGCTTCCATAAGGATTACATTGAAACTTTGAGGACCTGTGGAACGGATTCCTTAAGGAATCTTTTTACGCCTTATAGATGTTAGCACTCATCACAATATGGTCTTTATCACCATGCAAAATTTGAAAATGATTGATTCTAAGCCGTCTAGGAAGAGTTTGGGTATGAAGAAAGGCATTTAAGAATCAACGTATAAGAGCTTCGCTCGCTCCTCTCAATAATGACATTTTGGAAATTTGTTTCTTCATACTGAGCTATCAATATTTCAATAAATAATACACCTTATAAATTGTATTTCCTTTAGCAGCAAACCTAGCACTCATTAAAATTAGCTTAATGCAATAAATCTGAAATTAAATCCTATACTCTAATACGAGCAATGTTTGCTTGTATGTATGTATGTATGCTTGCTTGCAGAAAGATCTCGAAAACGGCTCCAAGGATTTTCTTCAAATCTTGTAAATAGTTTATTTTTGGCCTAAAAACGAGTTTTCTGCGCAAAAACACAAATCTAATTACGTAGGAAAATGAAACTGAAAGTCACATTTTTTTAACATTAGTCTTGGGTTGCTAAGTAACGATGTTGGTTGAATTGAATAACAAGGAAAAAGTAAACAAAAGACTTGTATGTTGTAGGGTCTGACTTAAGGGAGGTACAAATGAGGCAACGATGACATCATAGTTTAGTTCAAAATTCTTCCGTTAACAGCGTTGTAGTAGAGAGCACCCTAGTTAGTTATAAAATTAAGAAAAATTATAAAATTAATTTTAGAATTTTTCAATTATTAAATTAAACTGTCATAACCTAACCAAACTAACCAAACGTGCTGATAATGAAAATATCGAATGAAGGTTTACAAATATAGGCTAAATATAGTTTTGTTCACGAATAAAATTATAAATGGCTAAGATTCAATTCTATAATTTTTTTATTATAAAATTAAACTGTCATAACCTAACCAAACCAACCAAACTTGCTGATATGAAAAATTTGTTGACAAAAAGTTAGTGCTGCCAGCGGGATTTGAACCCGGCACCTTCGGATTATCAGCCTGATGCGTTAACCATCACACCACCTAAGCCGATGACTGAATTCCGTATCGTTGCGGTAATGGTGTTCCCACAAGAGGAGATCTGACAGCTGACGTCATCGAAGGCTCTTCTGTACCTCCCTTGAGTAAATACCGTAAGTTGTAACATGTGTTACAAAGCGATCTACCCACAGTATACTAGCAAATTACAAACAGTACAAAAGGAAAACATCAGTTGTTATTGAGCAAAGATTATACTGAAGATTACTCGATACATTGTAGTTAAGGTTAGCATCGCGGAGTGTGAAAAGCGTCTGGGGCAGTTGGATTATGTATCTAAAATACTAAAATACTATGGAAAGGGAGATAAAATAGGTCCGCGACGTAGAAGTGGTGAAGGAAGTAGTAAAGGCGAGCAGTGTGGAATGTGGGAGCCGTTTGTGAAAGTTGAAAAAATTTATCTGCAATACTTAAATAATAAGAGAAGGGAAACAGCTCCACGACGTAGGGAATAGTGACACAAGTAGTAAAGGCAGGCTGTCCGGAGTGTGGGATCTCTTTATGTAGAAACATAAATGACGATTAGATTAAGGTATTTGCAATCCTAAAATGCTGTGGGAAGGGAGGAAAACAGGTCTGTGACGTAGGAAGTGGTAAAAGAAGTAGTAAAAGCGAGCAGTCCGGAGTGTGGGAACTGTTTATGACGATTAGATTAAGGTATCTACAATCTTAAAATGCAATGGGAAGGGAGGGAAACAGGTCCGTGACGTAGGAAGTGGTGAAGGAAGTACTCAAGGCGAGCTGTCCGCACTGTGGAAACTGTTAATGGCGATTAGATTAAGGTTTCTAAAATCCTAAAATGCTATGGGAAGGGAGGAAAACAGGTCCGTGATGTAGGAAGTGGTGAAGAAAGTAGTCAAGGTGAGCTGTCCGGAGTTTGGGAACTTTATGACGATTAGATTTAGGTATCTGCAATCCTAATATGCTATGAGAAGGGAGGAAACAGGTCCGTGTCGTAGGAAGTAGTGATGAAAGTAGTAAAGGCGAAAAGTTCAGAGTGTGAAACTTTATAACGATTACATTAAGGTATCTGCAATCTAAAAATGCCGTTGTAAGGGAGGGCAACAGGTCCGCGACGTAGGAAGTGGTGAAGGAAGTAGCAAAGGTGAGCAGTCCGGAGTGTGGGAACTGTTTATGATGATTAGATTAAGGTATATGCAACCTTGAAATGCAATGGAAAGGGAGGGAAACAGGTCCGTAGGAAGTGGTGAAGGAAGTAGTAAAGGCGAGCCGTCCGGAGTGTGCGAACTGTTTAAGACGATTAGATTAAGGTATCTGCAATCCTAAAATGCTAAGGGATGTGAGGGAAACAGGCCCGCAACGTAGGAAGTGTTTAAGAAAGTAGTAAAGGTGAGCAGTCTGGAGTGTGGGAACTGTTTATGACGATCATATTAAGGTATCTGCAATCCTAAAATGCTATGGGAAGGGAAGAAAACCGGTCAAGACGTAGGAAGTGGTGAAGGAAGTAGTAAAGTAGTCCAGAGAGTGTGAACTGTTTATGACAATTAGATTAAGGTATCTGCAATCCTAAAATGCTTGGGAAACAGGCCAGCAACGTAGGAAGTGGTGAAGGAAGTAGTCAAGGCGAGCTGTCCGTAGTGTGGGAGCTGTTTATGATGATTATATTAATGTATCTGCAATCCTAAAGTGCTATGGGAACGGAGGGAAACAGGTCCACGACGTAGGGAGTTGTGAAGGAAGTAGTCAAGGCGAGCATTGTGGATTGTGGGAATTGATTAATGTATCTGTATTACTAAGACTGCTTTTAGAGTAAACGATTTTTCCCGAGCAAAGCTCGGTCCCCGGTTACTAGGAAATAAATTTGACAATTTTAAGTGAATAATTTAGTGGGATTCCAGCCAGGTAGGAAATTTGCTTAGTCTGATGCAGGTGGGTATGTTTTAACTTGTTTAGAGATAAGATTCACTTACTTGGAGTCATGAAATGAACTAAAAGTTGTTGAATCCCTTGGCTAATATTTCACTCTTCCACCAAAAATTTGTCACTCAAACACAAATGAGTGACAAAATCCCCCTTTACATATTGTGGAGAGTATGTTGAATGATAAATAAACAAACAAGATTCCATTAATACATCACTGCAGGACCTCTTTAGTAAATGGGCTCAGGGGCTGAAGAGATTTTATGTTAGTTGGGGGTGCAAGGAAGAGAAAAATTACTCTGCAAAGAACGGAGCAGGTAACAATCTCTAGGGCCCATGACGTGTCTCATAGACCTGCATCACTGGAAGCTACTTTGGCTAGACCAAAATTAGCTTTGCTTATATGTTAGGTCTACGTTTGATATCCATATACAAATCCCAAAGTACGGTACTCATGAACTTTTGAGAAAACTACAAGTCACAACCCCATAAACCCTATAGGTACGTTTGTCATGACGAGAAACCTTACATAAAACTATCCATTATTTCATAAATTGCCCTTTAAAGTCGTAATTACTTTCCAAAGGGAACTTTACATGTACCGATGCACCTAATGTTAAAAATACCCCAGCTGTACTTTGTTTGTTATTCTTTCAATTAATTACCTTATTAAAATCAGGTGTGATTATTTGTTTGTATTACTGTATTCTGTTTTGTTTACATCAGCTTAACTTAACCAATCAATAGTGTTTTATTAATACTTATGAAGTCAAATGGGGTGAAGCACGTGGGTAACATCTAGTTCTCATAATGACTAAAAATTTTGTAAGTATTTTGTTAGTAGATCTATTCCAGATAAGATTTCCAACATTATATATCTATGGTAATGTAACCTTATTTTATTTTCAGGAATAATGCTGTGCATTTAAATACAATAGATATCTATGGAAACAGTTTTATACCAGAAGATGACGAAACAGAATCCCAGGCTATCAACATGATTCACTCAAAGTTAGCAAAATTCCGTGGGAAATGGTTAAATTTGCCAGATTTGAGCAATGTAAGTAAAAAATCACTACCTAGACATAAGTCATATATGGCTTTGTTGTTAACCATCCAACTTAGTTTGTATCCTGCTACATTGGGCTACTAACTAGGAGGATTAAACATTAAGGAGAGGACACACTGTAGTTTCGTTGAAGCCAGCGTACTGGGAGGGGGAGGCAGCGCTACTCTCCCGCCCCCCTCTCATTCTGCGTTGTATGGGTTACTGGAAGAATTGGTAACAGAAATATCAATTAACTATTTAAAAATTAGACTACATCATGCTACGGAAATTAAAAAGTTAAGTTCTAACCGTAATATTAGGAACCTATTAAGAGGAAAGTCATATTTAAGAACCAAGAGTAGTACTGTATGTGTATTTGAACATTTTTCTTAAAGATAAATAAAATAAGTTTTAATCCTTTAAAGAATGTTAAACGCACTTTGGTGTCAGAAGACGTGATGATTATTGAAGATTTACACTTTTTACTCGAAGTTTCTTTAGAGAAACAGGTCAAATAAATATAGTTCAATATATTAAAAATCAAGAATTTCATTGCCAAGAAATTGTTTTACTTTTTATGTTCGTAATTTAATTGTAATGGCTGTTGGTGTATAAAAAAGTTATAAAAAAGAGCGGCTTTGCATTTTTCCTTAACTTTGGCTATTTCAAATCACCTGCCTAGCACATAAATGCCTTAAAACTAGTAAAAAATGATATTAACAAATCGAGAAAACTATGAAAAATGCAAATTTAAAATATACTCACCACCCGAATTAAATTTTTCATTTTAACCTATAATTAGTAAGATTGTTTTATAAACTGGAAAAAAAACTGTAGCCTATTGTAATAATTTTTCTAAATACCACTTTTAAATATAGGTAAATATATATTTTTTTTTTTTATTACAAGAAACTCTTAAGAAACACAAATAAATTGTTTAACACAAATTAAAGTAATCATATGTTCAAAGTCCAGGCCAATTCTTTCAACTTTAAATGTTCAATAATAAATTATAAATAATAGTTTTAATAAGAATGATTGACACCACTCGATAGGAAATTTAATTTACTTTAAGAATGCTATCGGTGCATAACACAGGTGTTTTAGTTTAGCGGCAATTTTAATTTGAAACAGCGCGCGTTGCGTTTTTCCCTATCTCTCCCATGTTTTAGCTGAAGCTTTTTGCTCCGCGTGCCCCTCTAGTGTTCTTCTAGAGCTGGCTTCACCGTAACATGTGTATTCCTATTCGCGTGCCCTCTCCTTAATGTTTAATCCTCCCAGGCTAGTAAGTTGGGCTATTCACAGGTCACAATATGTGTAGAAGTAAATACATTTTTTAATGCTATACTTTTTGTTGTAATTAATAAGAATTGATAAGAATTAAAATCTCAACTCGCACATATAAATAGCTAGTATTAATGGTTGGTTATAGTGCTTGCCTAGTAATCAGAAGGTACCAGTTCACCAAAGATGTAGATGACTAGCATTAGTGGTTATAGTACTCGCCTAGTAATCAAGGTTGCCAGTTACCACAGATGTAGCAAACTATTCTTAGTGGTTATAATGCTGGCCTAGTAATGAGAAGGTTGCCGGTTCACCACAGATGTAGATGACCAGCATTAGTGGTTATAGTACTCGCCTAGTAATCAAGGTTGCCAGTTACCACAGATGTAGCGAACTAGCCTGAGTGGTTATATTGCTTGCCTAGTAATCAGAAGTTTGCCGGTTCACTAGAGGTGTAGATGACTAGCATTAGTGGTTATAGTACTCGCCTAGTAATCAAGGTTGCCAGTTACCACAGATGTAGCGAACTAGCCTGAGTGGTTATATTGCTTGCCTAGTAATCAGAAGTTTGCCGGTTCACCACAGGTGTAGATGACTAGCATTAGTGGTTATAGTACTCGCCTAGTAATCAAGGTTGCCAGTTACCACAGATGTAGCGAACTAGCCTGAGTGGCTATATTGCTTGCCTAGTAATCAGAAGTTTGCCGGTTCACTAGAGGTGTAGATGACCAGCATTAGTGGTTATAGTACTCGCCTAGTAATCAAGGTTGCCAGTTACCACAGATGTAGCGAACTAGCCTGAGTGGTTATATTGCTTGCCTAGTAATGAGAAGGTTGCCGGTTCACCACAGGTGTAGATGACCAGCATTAGTGGTTATAGTACTCGCCTAGTAATCAAGGTTGCCAGTTACCACAGATGTAGCGAACTAGCCTGAGTGGTTATATTGCTTGCCTAGTAATCAGAAGTTTGCCGGTTCACTAGAGGTGTAGATGACTAGCATTAGTGGTTATAGTACTCGCCAGGTAATCAAGGTTGCCAGTTACCACAGATGTAGCGAACTAGCCTGAGAGGTTATAATGCTGGCCTAGTAATGAGAAGGTTGCCGGTTCACCACAGATGTAGATGACCAGCATTAGTGGTTATAGTACTCGCCTAGTAATCAAGGTTGCCAGTTACCACAGATGTAGCGAACTAGCCTGAGTGGTTATATTGCTTGCCTAGTAATCAGAAGTTTGCCGGTTCACTAGAGGTGTAGATGACTAGCATTAGTGGTTATAGTACTCGCCAGGTAATCAAGGTTGCCAGTTACCACAGATGTAGCGAACTAGCCTGAGAGGTTATAATGCTGGCCTAGTAATGAGAAGGTTGCCGGTTCACCACAGATGTAGATGACCAGCATTAGTGGTTATAGTACTCGCCTAGTAATCAAGGTTGCCAGTTACCACAGATGTAGCCAACTAGCCTGAGTGGTTATAATGCTGGCCTAGTAATGAGAAGGTTGCCGGTTCACCACAGATGTAGATGACTAGCATTAGTGGTTATAGTACTCGCCTAGTAATCAAGGTTGCCAGTTACCACAGATTTAGCTAACTAGCCTGAGTGGTTATAGTGCTGGCCTAGTAATGAGAAGGTTTCCGGTTCACCACAGATGTAGATAACCAGTCTAAATGGTTATAGTACTGGCCTAGTAATGTCAAAGGTTGCCGCTTCACCAGAGATGTAGATGACTAGCAACAGTGGTATACGTACTTACTTGTATACTTGTGATGATCCCACTAGTAGCTTTCCAGCCGTGGTCGTGAAAGGTGTTTAATTTTCAGGTGGGGCCTATCTTCTCTTAATCCTCCAAAAATTCTTCTAGTTTGTAGTAGGCCTTTTCTAATAAATAATTTTTGAGTTTTTTCTTGAATAAATTTTTGTCTTGGCAGCTTCTTATGTCTTCTGGCAATTTATTAAATATCTTACTTGTTGAGTGATGTGGTCCAGTTATTTACCCTACCAATGATGTTCGGTGACAATTCAGGTGTATATGGTTTTGTTGCCTGGTGTTGTAATTATGTATTTCGTGGTTGTGTTTGAAGACTTCCGGAAATTTCCATATCATCATAGCTGATTCCAATATATAAACGGAGGTAAGGGTGGGAACTTTAAGATTAATAAAAAGTGGTCTGCAATGTTCTAAAAAATGGGTTTTACAAATTATTCTAATAATTCTCTTTTGTAGTAGAAAGACTCTGTTTGCTTCACTGTTGTTGCCCCAAGGTGGTTATAGTACTTGCCTAGTAATCAAGGTTGCCAGTTACCACAGAAGTAGCCAACTAGCCTGAGTGGTTGTAGTTCTGGCCTGGTAATTAGAAGGTTGCCGGTTCACCACAGACGTAGATGACTAGCATTAGTGGTTATAGTACTCGCCTAGCAATCAAGGTTACCAGTTACCACAGATTTAGCTAACTAGCCTGAGTGGTTATAGTGCTGGCCTAGTAATGAGAAGGTTGCTGGTTCACCACAGATGTAGATAACTAGTCTGAGTGGTTATAGTGCTGGCCTAGTAATGAGAAGGTTTCTGGTTCACCACAGATGTAGATGACTAGCCTGAGTGGTTATAGTGCTGGCCTAGTAATGAGAAGGTTGCCAGTTACCACAGATGTAGATAACTAGTCTGAGTGGTTATAGTGCTGGCCTAGTAATGAGAAGGTTTCTGGTTCACCACAGATGTAGATGACTAGCCTGAGTGGTTATAGTGCTGGCCTAGTAATGAGCAGGGGCGGACTGGCCCGCCGGCCTACCGGCCGGTGGGCCGATACGCCTTCTCAACATTCCAATATTTGCGCCCTCGTTAAAGGAAAAATTCATAAAAAATGTTTAAAAAATGAGACGAGATGTATTTTTTAGAAAGCAAGAGGAAAAACTTAGAGTAAAAGTTTCAGCAGTGAATAGCAAAACATAAAGTCGGGCGTGAGACCTGATAGACACTGTCGACAAGCGAGAGCAAAGCAGCTCTTCTCTCTCGTACGTGTCGGCCTACTCCGAGTGGAAGGCACTTACTTTACTCTGTGGTCTGAGCTACAGCTGTCCTCTTCCCGCGTCATTTTACGCCGAACCCAAAAAAAAACTGCACTGCGACCACGAGTAGTAGAAAAATACCGGTATGGATCATAAACATAAACAAATTACGTTTTTGGCCCGAAAATAAACATTATTTAACATTGCTTAAATGGAACTGCCAAATCATATGTTCAATGCTCAGTATAGGATTCGGGCCAACAACATCATTTGTTTATGTTTGTGATCCATACCGGTATTTTTTTAGTATTCGTGACTGCGACTCGACATCGGTCGGTGTCACGATGTCGTCTGTGGTAAACAACTAGTGAAGATAATTTAATATTATTCATATTTGTTATAATATTTAATTATTGCTCACACTATAACTATTTCAGTTTAAGTCACATTTAATTTTTATCAATGTCAACTCAACTCTCTTGTAAAATGGCGTTTGCCGTGCATGTAATAAATAAATAAAGAGTGTGAGCTGCCAATTAAAATGTGTCTCTCTTTAGTGAGTTTTTGATTTGTGTCTCTGTGTCGAAAGCTTCAATTTATTTTTATATTCTTTACCTACACGGGAAACATGAACGAAAGCAGTATTGTAGAATCACTACTTTAAAAAAAATTAAATAGATTTAGTGACAGTGTATTTGTTAACTTAACCATTACACAGTAAAGGTTAAACAGTAAACAGTATTTTAATATGTGGCTACAGCCTATTAATTAATTATTTCAATATGCACTATGGCACTAATTTTGTCAACTTTCCTATTTTACTTACAGATAGCCAGCCTAAAATACCTTCGTAGTTCTCTCTAGGCTATTTCGTTTGTAGAAATAGGTTAGGTAGGCCTACTTTAGGGTTACAGTTTTGACTTAATGTAATGCTAAAAAAGTTTAAGTCAATAAATTGGTTTTGTTCACAGTGAAAGCATATTGTTTGTGTTAAAATAATTTCATAGAAATCTAAAATATATAACTTCTGTTATTTACAGTGCCAAAAAATACAACAGTTGCAAGTTCAGGCTGTAAACAGGAAGCAAATGATTTATATTGTATGCATGCAGCCAAGCCATGCAAGGGAAAATAAAGAAAATACACAAATTTAATACGAAAGAACCTAAGAAAATCATTTGTATTTTTATTTTTGTTAGGATATTTACTGTCAGAACAGCACCAAGTCGTGTGGGTAAATAGTCTAAATTTTGTAAACCAAACATTAACCAATAGTGTCTGTTACCAGATTTCTGATTTTCCACTGTTAATGCCTCTAGATTGCCTAAAAATGCGAGTTTACAGGTATAAATTTTAAAAAATTCCCCGGACCCCCCTCTGTACAGGGGGGTATTCCATACCCCCCAAACCCCCCGGTTGGCGCCTTCGGGCTGGTCAAGGTTTACGCCCTAATAGAGTACCCAGTCCGCCCCTGGTAATGAGAAGGTTTCTGGTTCACCACAGATGTAGATGACTAGCCTGAGTGATCATAGTGCTGGCCTAGTAATGAGAAGGTTTCCGGTTCATTACAGATGTAGATAACTAGCCTGAGTGAATATAGTGGTGGCTAGTAATGAGAAGGTTGCTGGTTCACCACAGATGTAGATGACTAGCCTGAGTGATCATAGTGCTGGCCTAGTAATGAGAAGGTTTCCGGTTCATTACAGATGTAGATAACTAGCCTGAGTGAATTTAGTGGTGGCCTAGTAATGAGAAGGTTGCAGGTTCACCACAGATGTAGATGACTAGCCTGAGTGATCATCCTTATATATAATTCTGTAAGACAAAATTTTTACCAGGAAATTGTGGACGTCTGGTAAGTTGCAGAAAAGTGGGAGGGGTCTTAAATTAAAGGTCTTGACCCCAGGGACTCAGGAAAAATAGTAGAATTCCTTTATAGTTGCCGGAAAATGAGATATAACTTAAAATATCCACCATAAGAAAAGCATGAGGACTGAAAAACGTCTGCATTCTAATAAGCTATTACTTATTTATTTGCAATGTTTACATTTATTCCGAAATTTAATGTTGTTAAATAATGTTTCAAAATGAAATGTATTTGTTTTATTATTTTTTTCCATTTTTATAATGAGTGAAGTAACTAGACAGGGTAGGGGAAGACCTGCAAGAGTGTCCTGGAATTCATCTGACAAGAAATGCTGAAAGAGATCTTCATATAAGGCCTAACTATGAATGAAATCCACAAGCTGGTTTACAACCTGCCTTCAGAAGAACGCTGGAAAATGAGTTGAGTGTTGTTTCTCACAATTTAGGTCCTCTTAACAACACTTGCATGCATTGTGGCATTGTGGATCCCAGACGTCCTCTTTTTCCCGGACACGTCCTCTTTTTGGGTACAAAAAAAACGTCCGGGGGGATTTTTGGCAATACTTTCAAATGTCCGGGATTTTGACTTTGTGAGATAATAAAAATATATTTCTGCAAGTATTAATATTAGCAATCAGCTTTTATAAGATATCGTCATCATAACATTAAACTAAGATAAAATACTACACTTTAATAATATCTTACGTATAAAAGTGTCATTTCTCTTTCTTTAGGTCAAATTACGTGTATAACGTACGCTAGAAACCATTGGAAATACTGTAGAACCAAACGGAATGGCAGGCGAACAATGGTTTCCCTGCTTTGCGTGACTCTGCTGGCTGATTGTAAACTGAATAACTCTGCTCACTAGTAGCCAGTTTGCCAGGCCAGTACAAGCGACCGTGTAGCATACTAGCGACCGTCGACCAGTGACTAGCTCTTCGTCTGCTTACTTTACGTAGGCCTACTTAACAAAATGGTACCTAGTGTCTCACACTTTGATGCGGAAGGGACGGATTTAATTTCTGGCACAACCACTCACAACCACAAAAAAGTTACACAAAAACTTTATTCTCACATTGACCCCTTGTAAATTGCCACTGGCGTAGTAAAAAAAATAAAACACTGAGTACCAACTATTCAGGCGGTAGCAGTGACGACGCCGTCAACATCGTTAGTTGGGTAGTGTACTTTGTGTAGGTTAACTGTTGCTTGCTATGCAGGTATAATTCAGTCGTGTTGGGTGCTAGTTCATAAACACTTCTTAGATAAAATAAGTTCTCTGGTTCAAAATCATGGTCTGATTTTGGACAAGTTCTGTTTAGCATGCACATTGGCACCAGTTAAAAGTGTGTTTTTGTAAATCAAACATGCTTGAATGTGTTGTAATGTTGCGGTATTCCTTTGATATTAAAACCACAAGTCTCAATAATAAAAAAAATGACATCATACGAGTACAAGTTTATTTAAAAAAATTTTTTTGACCTTTAAAAAATAAACTGGGAAGCTTGAACACATTAAACTAGGTCCTCAAAATAGCTTAAAGACTACTAATTTTAGCACGTTATTTCAAAATTTTTCCCGGGGCCCCCCTTCTTTGCTGGGGGGTATTCCATACCCCCCAGGCCCCCCAGTGACCCCCCCCCCAAATATATGTCTAGGACCGCCCTTGGTGAGTAATTTTGTCCTCTTTTTTGATGGTGGGTCCATGGGAACCCTAATTGTGGCGCATTTCACTTTGCAGAAGAGGCAACAAATGGACATATCAACGCATGTTGCAACGATGAACTCATTAACATGCCACAACCACAATTCAATGACGAACTAAAAGACATGTTTTTACATGATTCTAACTTTATAAAAACCATAAGGCAATACAACAGTGCAATAGCTTTTGCGTCACTTTCCGCTACACAAAGAGATTCCGGGAAATGGGCCTAACTGTTTTAAAACTCAGGGACAAATTCATAGATATATTTCTTACTTACTATCGCTAAATGAGGAGTTTCCACGACAATTATGTCTAAATTAGGGGCTATGGCCCTACAGGCCAAACTAGTAGTCCTGTACTTATAGTACTGGCCTAGTAATGAGAAGGTTGCTGGTTCATCACAGATGTAGATGACTAGCCTGAGTGATCATAGTGCTGGCCTAGTAATGAGGAGGTTGCCGGTTTACCACAGATGTAGATAGCTAGCCAGAGTGATTATAGTGCTGGCCTAGTAATGAGAAAGTTGCCGGTTACACAGATGTAGATAACTAACCTGAGTGATTATAGTGCTGGCCTAGTAATGAGAAGGTTGCAGGTTCACCACAGATGTAGATGACTAGCCTGAGTGATCATAGTGTTGGCCTAGTAATGAGAAGGTTGCAGGTTCACCACAGATGTAGATGACTAGCCTGAGTGATCATAGTGCTGGCCAAGTAATGAGAAGGTTGCAGGTTCACCACAGATGTAGATGACTAGCCTGAGTGATCATAGTGCTGGCCAAGTAATGAGAAGGTTGCAGGTTCACCACAGATGTAGATGACTAGCCTGAGTGATCATAGTGCTGGCCAAGTAATGAGAAGGTTGCAGGTTCACCACAGATGTAGATGACTAGCCTGAGTGATCATAGTGCTGGCCTAGTAATGAGAAGGTTGTAGGTTCACCACAGATGTAGATAACTAGCCTGAGTGATCATAGTGCTGGCCAAGTAATGAGAAGGTTGCAGGTTCACCACAGATGTAGATGACTAGCCTGAGTGGTTATAGTGCTGGCCAAGTAATGAGAAGGTTGCAGGTTCACCACAGATGTAGATGACTAGCCTGAGTGAAATTTGATCAACATAATATACCTATCTATAGGCCTAAACAAATAAACTACAACTGTTTATGCTACTTATTCTGTATAAGAATAACATGGGAATTTTAAATTTAAAGTTATTTTTACTTTTCTCTGTAGGCTAATAATTTAGCAGAATTAATACTTCAATGTACTAAATCTTTTTTAGCTCCTTAAAACGGTTAAACAAGAAATGGTAAAGTATAATTTTTTTGGGTAAATAAAACCCTGTTCCCAAAGTCCGATAATGCTTTTTTGCATATTCGTTATAGAATAATTGTAGGTTTTATACCATTCTTGTATTTGCCTACTCTTGTGTATTTGTGAATAGAATATTTTAATTGAAAACAATCGAGTCTTATTGTTTCCAGGGCTGGGGGAATTAACTTAATCACTCAATTGTTTTATTTAAATTTTAAAAAATTTCCAGAAAACAGCAATCAGTCATATCTAAATATCTTCATTTGTCTTTTTTGTAACCAGTGTTTTATTATTTGTGTTTCCTTGTTGTAGGTTCATATACCAGAATTTTATCTGCCAGGACTACCACAAAATTTCCCTCCACCATTTTATAAAATATCAGTGCTGACGAGGTATGACCAAAAGAAATTGTTCTGTATTTATAGAGACCTGATCTTGAATGATAAAACATTACAGTCTGAAAGCAGAATGACTTTATTTCAGGTAAGTCTCTTTACCATTAATTTTGTGATTTAAATTTCAAGACAAGGTTTTGACCTGTGATAAATACAGGTCTCCGGACAGACTTAAAATTTGGATCAGGTCAAAAGCTTTAGCCTTTTGAGTCTCGAGCCAAAATCAAGTTGCTTTGGCATATATTGATTGAAAAAATGTTAATAGTAATACTTCAATCAGGTAATGCAGTATTTTACATTCTTGTTTGACTTTCAAAACTCCAGAACAGTAAAGAACTTGAAAATAATTTGTAAGACAGTCTCACTGTATTGTTCAGGAACTGAGAAGCAAAGTTGCCAAGGAGTATGAAGAGTTCCAGGAGATTGCCAAGAGAGAGTGGTGCAGAAGTCAGTGGGTGAGAGTTCTACAGATTCCCTCGGAGGTGGAAACTTACATTGACAGCTTGTGGAAGGTACTAAGTAGCCTATTGATGATTGCATCAAGGGAACATTGGTTTTTAGGATCATTAGAGTTTGAAAGCCCACTACCCCCATCTAGACAGGGATACCCTTAGGCCTCAAGGTGACTCATTTTTTAGTAATGAAAAAATTTTTTTCATACAGTTACTTGACAAAGCTGGCTTCCATGCACTGATTATAGCACGCAAAGTAGCTAATTGCTGGATTTATGTACTTTTTCAACACTCCAGTAATACTCCAGCTTTCCAACTAAACAACACAAAACAGTGTTCTATTATTAGGCACGTAATACGTGTACGCTTGAAAATAAGTTGGCAACACTTAAAGATACTACAACTACGAACCACTGTTGCACCGTTTCCCAGCATTTGACTATTGATACTACGACTTAACCTGTCGTTTCGTGTTAACATTTAATTTTCATTCAACGCTGGGATTTAATGGTGTCTTGCTATTTGCTCCCAGTGACATTTGCTAGGATAGGGTCGGTTCCCGGAATTCCCGCCTTGACCGTTCCTATGTGCCACAACCATTGTTGTACTGTACTTATAATTTGTGTATACAGTCAACTCTCGATAACTCGAATTTCAAGGGAACGGCTGTTTTCTTCGTGTTACGTAAAGTTTGATTTAAGAATAGTTCGAGTTATAGAGGTAATATTTCATTAAATTCGACTTACAGAGGTAAACAAAATAAACTTTGAGTTATAGAGGTACAAATAAACGATGTTTTTTATTCCCTACATCCTTTACAAAACTAATGTATGTAACTGCAATACATACTACAGCATTTGTACTTACTGTCACACTGCAATGTATGCCTTACAATTCATACGTACATACAAATCAAATTTGAAAATAATCTTCTTCTGCCTAAGGTTTTTTTCAGAATTTAAGTCTATAATGTTCTCAATAACAACAACAGCAGAGAACACGTTGTCTGGTACGTCACTTGATTGTTATAAGTATTTACGTAAAGTGTTCACTGCGGCCTTGGCTTCCCTGGTTGTGATGTCCGGTGGCTGCTCCATGCCGTCGTCATTGTCATCATCAGAGAGGACGTCTTCACTTGTTACAGTTGCGATGTTGTCTTGGTCCGACAATGATCCGTAGACTGAAACACCCTCGTCGACATTTGCAAAATCATCAAAGTCTAAATTTGGGAGCTCGTTATTTATCACGGTCCACTCAGCTTCAGCGTTGGGAGGTCTCGGTTCTAGTTCATGGTCATTGTCACTTGGCAATCTTGGACAAGTTTGTTTTGATACACTTTTCCAGCACTCTTCAATCAACCGCATGGCTTGACAGATTGATTGAACACTCCTTTCCGTCTTCAATATCACAAATCTTCTTACAACTTAAGTTCTGTAAAGAACTTTAAAATTCTTAATTATGCCCTGATCCAGAGGTTGTAATATTTGCTGGTAAAAACTGGACCCATTTGAGCTCTGGAATAGTGTTGTGAGCACTGCAGTTGTCAATTAATAAAATAATTTTTCGCTTCCCTTTGCCCATTTGCTTATCTAACTTAAGTAACCATAACCAATCTACAAACAACTCCGCATTCATCCATGCTTTCCTATTCGCTGTGTAGTCAACAGGTAGTGACTTTACTCCAGCAAAGAATCGAGGTTTTTTGATTTCCCTATCACTAGAGGTTTTAACATATTCGTGCCTGTCATGTTTACACAAGCAAAAGAGTAATTCGTTCTTTGCTGTGTTTGCCCCCGTGACAATTTTCCTCTTTCAACTCGTAAGTCTTACCAGAGAGGCACTTAAAGAACAGAGCAGTTTTGTCAGCATTGAAAACGTTTTTGGGGTCATAATCATTAATGAGATCTGGTAATGAAGCCTTCCAATCAACAATGTGACGGCCCCAAAAATTCCCAGACCACTGCTGGGGAGGTTTCTGCTACACCCTCAAGAAACCCTGTCAATACCGTCACAAAAGCTTTGCTTTATTTCAAATATAAAAGGAGGGTCTGTAATATTGAACTGTGTTAACCTCCCAACTTTTGCGTCAGCTAGTTGCCTCACCATGGAATATTCCGTCAGCCGTAGCTCAGCGCTAGGCCAGGCCAATGTTCCCAGAAGTGTAACGCGCGTGGCTGGAATTGGCTGAGCTCAGCTCAGAAAATTGCTCGATGAAATCAGTAACTGCGCAACTACAGTTTGCCTAACGTCCCCGGATGATCGCTAGGCAGCAGCACTATGCAGTGTTGCACTGACATCACGCGGCATAGCCACGACGTTGATTGGCTGGTGCCCCTCCACGGCCAACTTTATGCTACGGACGGAGAGCACTCAGTTGAGTTAGTCTAAATTCTAAATTAAATTCAGTAGGTCATCTAAATTTCCGCATCGCCTTTCCCCCATTTTTCTGAAATGCATTTAATCATGACAATCTGCATCTTAGCATTGTAAATCTATCACAACTTAATTCGAAATTGTAGTTTCTCCTTCTCACCAGCTAGTACTTAAAGTTTATAAATTATTTGTGTTTGTAAGTTATACAGCAAGTCGGAAGCTAAGTTACATTGTTTTTTAGTATAATTCTAATAAATTATTTATCCAATTTGTAGCGAATTCTCGTTGTTTCATTCGGCAACCTGTCACAACTACTATGTCATTGTCTACAGCTCCACTTTCTCCACAAACTTTTTCTTAAAAGAAATGTTGTGCCTTTTTTTAAAATTCTCAAGCCACCAATTGCTGGCTTTAAACTCTATGTGGCCCAAAGATCTAGCAAAGTGCTCAGCTTTTTCTCTTATCAATGGGCCACCTAGAGTTATATTTTTTTCTCTGCACTATTTAATCATGCACTCTTCTACATCTTTGAATTCAGCATCTCTTTTCCTTTTACATTTCAAGTTACCTTCGATAGCCCTTTGTTGAATTTCTTCTTTGTTTTTCAAGATCGTTGACAGCGTGCTGCAAGGAATGTTGAAGTCTGCGGCAATGTCTTTCTTTTTCCTCTTGCCTTCACCCACTAACTTTATTATCTTGAACTTGTCCCCTAAAGTCAAAGTTTTCACTTTTCTAGTGCTCACGTTGTCACTTATAGTCACTCACATTCACTAAACGCACAACAGGGTTAGACCGGGAACGAGAACGTGCCACTAAACGAGGTATAGACGTATAGAGAACGTGTATAGACTAAATGCGTGGGAACTGACTGCACATGGCACTGACGTTTGGCAGCAATTCAGCGACATGTCCAGACCTGTTCGGCTAGGTCTATGACCTAACACAGGTTCGTTGTAAACACAGTTTCGAGTTAGCGAGGGTTGATCTGAAAATTTCGAGTTATAGTGGTAAATTTCGAGTTGTAGAGGTAATGTATTTAAAGACATCGACTTACCTACTGAACTTTGAGTTATAGAGGGAATTTTTCTATCACTTTGAGTTATTGAGGTAAAATTCGGGTGCAAAATTAATTCGAGTTACGCATGGTTTGACTGGGGCAGATTTTCTCAAGGGAACGAAAAAAAATTCGAGTTATCAAGGAAATCGACTTATTGAGGTTCGAGTTATTGAGAGTAGACTGTATAAAATAAATCGAGTTTCAACTGTGAATTGTGAAAATTAATTTTACCATCTTGTTCGGCTAATAGCGTCGCATATTTTGAATCCTAACTTCACATAACGGCAAGTTAAACAGTAATAGGCCTAGGTATGTTAAAATATTATAAACTCTTTGAATATTTCTTTTAGGGCCTAAGATTGGATATCACAATAAATAATACAGTCATAACATTTGTCACAATATATGATGCATCTATTAGATTAAATCCCATTAAAATACTTATTTCTGTTTACACCTCAGTTTCAGTGTTTAGGGTTCTGTGAATAGGTAATATCTATATTATCAATTCTGTAACCGATTTCTTTAAATCTAAATTATGAGAGTTTGACAGCTTGCATGATGAGGGTAGAGGGCTCAAATTAAAGGTCTTGATCCCAAGGGGTCAGGAAAAATAGCAGATTATGTTCAAATCTTCTACCAGAAAATTAGATATAACAAAAAATATATTCCGTTTAAAATGCATTGAGATTGAAAAAAATTAGAGGTGTGCGGATATCCAAAATTTTGAGTCGGTTTCGGTTTGGTTCGGATACCCGTAACCGAACCGATCCCAAATTTGATATCCGACACTATCTGTTAAATATCCGAAATTTCCGGATAGAGTGTATTTAATGACATTTGAGACAGAGGTCATTATATTCATAAGGCTACTCAAATCATCATTAGTTTCCCACGACGTAATAATTTTTCTACACCACTCGTTCCAATCAATGTTACAGAGGTCGATGAGTCATAGTCTATGACACAAAACCAGGGCCGATATACCGAATAGGCACGCTAGGCACGTGCCTAGGGCGCGAGGCAATTGGCCTCGATCATTACGATCAATCGTGAACAAGGCAGTTAGTTTAATTCACTATAGACACAGTAAACATTCGAAAAGAGTTCAGTCATCAATTAAAGTATTAACGCCAAACACTAAATTTTAATCTCGTGCTTATTTAATATCTAGACCAGGAAAATCTACAAGCTGATTTTATTGAATCAATTATAAATTCAGTAGATAATGGTGATAAAGTAGTTGGAATATTTTTAGACCTTAGTAGAGCTTTTGACAGTGTTTCACATTGTAAACTATTAAATATTTGAAATGAATTAGGAAAAGAATTATGGTGGTTCACTTCATATTTAGAAAACAGAGAACAGTTTGTTGAAGTGGACTACGTAATAGAGAAAAGAAATACTAAATATATTGAAAACTATAGATCTTAGCGGCAGACACTGCGATATGGAGTACCCCAGGCATCAATCTTAGGGCCTCTTTTGTTCCTCTGTTACATTAAGGGGTTACCATAGATGATCCTGGTCAGTGATGGATCTATGTGTCTGTTTGCTGATGACTGTAATGTTTTGTTTTCAGGAAAATCCAATTTAATTATTGAAAAATCCTCAAACAGGAGTCTCCTCT